AGAAAACAGTTTCATCCAAGTATGCAGTTTAATAGTATTACACCATTTGTTTCAGGCAAAGAGAACAATGGATTACAGGTTAAAAAGCAGTTATCCACCAACTAGGGTTGCTTAAGCACTTTTAGGTTCTAAATTGATAGTTCTCAGGCCCAGGGAACATGATTCTTCAGTTTCTGCAGCAGGATTCTAACACTTCCAGATCAAGCAAATTAGCAAATGAACTGCTGTACCAGACAGTGCCACAGAACCTATTACAGCAGCCATAGTGAGCAGTTATATGAGCACTCAAGGCAGACGCACCAACAGAAATATTTTAGAGGCACCAACTTAATTCCTTGAAGCTTTTATACATCATGTTACCAATCACTGATTCTAGTTCATTCCATTCCCTCTTCTAAGCTGTGAAACAAAACTGAAATCTTAAGCCCCAAGCAAAGAAGAAACTCTAAAACCTAAATTCTTGCTTAGAGGCTTGTAAGTGGAGCTTTTTTAAACCACCTTTTAAGTAGATACCCTTCCTTAAGTCCCCATGATTACAAATTACAGATATTACAGCAGCCTTCTAACTCAATAGACTACATGGCATTAACATATTTTTATGATTAACAGAGAACACAGAAAAAGTAATGTTAGTACAGTATTACCCATGCAAAATTGATGCCAAAATATTTTTTCACTGAATTAAAATAAGTAAGAAAAGTAATGTAATTTTAATAGTCTAATTTTAATCATCCACTGTTAGCAACAGTATTAAGGATATGAGTTTCCCTATGCTACAGCTCTTGGTGTAGGACTCTTGTTCAAATATCCACCCATCCTCAAATTCACTGTGTGACCTTCAGCCAGTCATCCTCTATCAGCCTAATTAATCTGTCAAAGGCAGTTGTGAGGATGAAAACCATTAATTTTTCCCTGAGCTTCTTTGTAATGAACAGAAAGCCTACAAAACAGAAAAATGCTCCACTGTTATGAACATATGTAATAATGATAAACCACCAAGAAAAGTTATTTTAATGGACTTAGCTAACCAAACCCGACTTAACTATTTGTTTATGTCTTACAATTCAAGGAGCAGGCAGCATTTTTAATGGTGCAAATTTCTGAAATTGCAATTTTTTGCTAAGAAGTTATAACTGGAAAGTATATTGCTGTCAAATGTTTGCATACCTAAGCCTTCATTAAAAGTGACAATTTAAGTAGTATCATAAGACATCAATGTTATATAGAAGGTTTTTCTCTTAACCATTTATAAACTCAAAAAAAATCTGATACTTTTCTTTGAGAAAGAAAGGAAAGTAAAATCTTAGACTAAACTTCAAAAGTAGCAATAGTAGAAAAGACCTGGAAAAATGGATAGAATTTTAATACAACATAACATACCGGTATTTTTTTTAATTATCTCCAAAGAACGTAATAAACATTACACCTACAATTCCAGTAAATAGTTTTAGGATATGTTTGCAACGGACATATATCAAAATGCTGATATACTTGCATCACACTGTCAGTACTATATACCCACCATTCCACAACACTATCTTAGAAAAAACATCTCAAACTCATGGGCACTACTGAGTCTGCAGCCAAACTCCTCCTTTCAACATATGATACTTGCTGCAGTGTGCTGCCAAGTTATTTAAAGGGAATACACCCATTCAATATTTTTAACTGCTTCCCTGCTTGTACTCTAGGGTCAGACACATAATAGTTTAGATATATATGTATTCACAAAGGCTAGATATAATTCAATTTTTAAAGATACAGTATCTACTCCATTGTTCTTACTTCCCAATTTTACCTCCCAAAGTCATTAAAGAATTATTATAGCTATCTATCCAGAAAAGCTATTCATAATTACTGTATTACAGAAAACTAAATACTGAAAAACTCACATAGCTAGCTTTTAGTAATGCTTCCGATATAAGATGCTTAGAATCCCAACCCTGCCAATCACAATGCAAACAGACCTACTTTTTCAAGAGCCCTCCCTGCCCTCCATAACCTCTGTTTAGTAAACTGGGTAGCCAGCGGGTGATGGAGTTTGATTCCCCCACTGTGCTTGCAGGGAGAAAAGCCAGTGTGTGTAACCTTAGACCAGGGGTCCCCAAACTTCTCAGTATGAGGGCCACATCATACATTGTACATATTTTCATGGGCCAAAGGAGGAAAGGGGGACCCAAGTGAGGTGGGAGATTGCTTGGGGCCCCTTTCCCTCCTCTTCCTATGCCTGGGCCGGATCAAAAGGCAAGGCGGGCCGGATGTGGCCCACAGGCCGTAGTTTGGAAATCTTTGCCTTAGACAAAGAAGTAATAAACGACTTCTGAATACTCAAAAATCCTGTAAAGAGTTCGCAAAGTCAGAATTCTCTTAACAGCACATCATTATAATTATATATTCCAGAGTCACACACATTATTTTCTCACATCACTAACCTGAATCATGTTGCCCCCCCTTAAAACTGTTCTAATCTAGAATACTTTACTGTTGAAATAAAGAAATGGTATACAACATACATGTACATTTTAGACATATCACAAATATATACTATACAGTGAACATCTCTTTTTAATGGCTTCATCTGAGTTGGATAAGAAAGGCTCTCTTCCCATCTTGCCACTGTGTCAATCTGGATAACCCCATCTGACATCCCAAGAAGTGAAGTGCCTATCCTGGTCAAACACTGTCGCAGCACTTGATTTTAAATTGAAAGAAGCCAAACAAGATAATGCTTGATATGAAATATCCAGATCAACACACTACAACAGGGAGAGCTGGAATAGCCTAAGCCACAATCTGCCAAAATTTTGTCTAGAAAGGAATTGGAAGTTCACTTCATCCTTTGCAAATTCAGAAACCAGAAGCCCCAGCAATAAGTTTCCAGATGGAAAGTTCTCCATATTTATTCTGAGAAGCTGCATTGAGCAACATGTGGGCCTAAACAAGCAGGGGTAAGATTGCTCCTTGCTTCCCACAAAGTATAATAAGACATCACGGGGGGGGGGGGGGGG